CAGGTAGTTGAAAGCAGCTATCAAATCCCGCCTCATTCTTCTCTTCTGCAGACTAAACAATCCCAGTTCCCTCAGCCTCTCCTCACAAGTGCTCCAGCCCCCTAATCTCTTTACCTCTTTAACCACTTAAAATTCACCTTTTGTAGTTAATAAACGTATTTCTTGTTTATAATATAACCCTGTTGGTGCAATTCATAATTTGGGGAGAGGGGTAAGAGGCTGTGCATATCTTCCTCCACATTGAGGGAAGAGGCAGATTTCATAATATACCTTTGTTCTGCACTCCAAGGGAGGTGGACACCTGACTGCTGGGGCAAGTCCCTTAAACTGAGTCTTCCCAGAGCTGATCTCAGTGTCTGTGTCATTCTGCAGTTGGGTGTGGCCCTGCCTGTGTGTGTGTTGGAGGAGGCTTAATAGCCTGGCTCAGCAAGACAGGTAAAAAGGGTGCCCTGCCTGGCAGAACAGGCGGGCTCAGTGGTATCCCGGTACATCAGGTGGCATCTCAAAGGGGGGCAAACCATTACACCAGCATCGCAAGATATTTACATGCCAGATGCACTTAAGATTCATGTGTCCCTTGATGCTTCTACCACCATTCCAGAGGACGTGTCCATGCTGATGACAGGTTCTGCTCAATAACGATCCGAAGCAGTGCGGACCGACACATGTTCATTTTTATCATCTAAGTCAGATGCCACCAGCAGAAGGTTGATTTTCTTTTTTTGGTGGTTTGGGTTCGGTCGTTTCTGAATCAGAGTGTTGCTTTTTTAAGACTCCCAAAAGCATGCTCCACCCTCTCAGATTTTGGAAGACACTTCAGATTCTTAAATCTTGGGTCGAGTGCTGTAGCTATCTTTAGAAATTTCACATTGGTACCTTCTTTACATTTTGTCAAATTTGCAGTGAAAGTGTTCTTCAAATGAACAACATGTGCTGGGTCATCATCCAAGATTGCTATAACATGAAATATATGGCAGAATTTGGGTAAAACAGAGCAGGCGACATACAATTCTCCCCCAAGAAGTTCGGTCACAAATTTAATTAACGCATTATTTTTTTAACGAGTGTCATCAGCTTGGAATGGTGGCTGAAGCATGAAGAGGCATATGAATCTTTAGCGCATCTGGCACGTAAATATCTTGCGATGCCAGCTACAACAGTGCCATATGAACGCCTGTTCTCACTTTCAGGGGACATTGTAATTCAGAAGTGGGCAGCATTATCTACTGTAATTGTAAACAAACTTGTTTGTCTTAGCGATTGGCTGAACAAGAAGTAGGACTGAGTAGACTTGTAGGCTCTAAAGATTTACATTGTTTTGTTTTTGAGTGCAGTTATGTAACAAAAATACCTACATTTGTAAGTTGCACTTTCATGATAAAGAGATTGCACTACAGTATTTGTACGAGGTGAATTGAAAAATATTATTTCTTTTATTTATCATTTTTACAGTGCAAATATTTGTAATGAAAAATAATATAAAGTGAGCACCGTACACTTTGTATTCTGTATTGTAACTGAAATTGACATATTTGAAAATGTAGAAAAACATCCAGAAATGTTTAATAAAATTCAATTGGTATTCTATTGTTTAACAGTGCGATTAATCGTGATAAATTTTTTTGAGTTAATTACGTGAGTTAACTGAGATTAATCAACAGCCCTAATTTAAATTATTATATAGTTGGGAACCCTGAGGTGCACAGTTGCAACACACACAGTATGGGAACTCTCTTATATGTACAAATATAATTTATTAATACATTTAGCACAATCACAAACACCCCAACTCATTAAGGTAGATAGACTACAGAATGTACATCTGCACATCCATATACTCTCACCATCTCTTGTAGAACAACCTGAAGTGTTACCCATCATCTTCCTCATCACCATCACCAGTGGCCGTCACTCTGGCACCTCCCAAGGACTACATCATCTTCTCCTACTGCCCCTGGGCTGCAATGCCACTTTTATCATACGTTACACTGATGCCGTTATGTTTGATGCATATTCAGTAGGGAATTTTCCCCCTATTCCTTATTTCTATTTCCTCACCTCACTAATGTTGGAGGGTCTTTTTTTCTATAGGTTAGTATATCAGTGATCTCAACTTATCATATATGTCAGTTCGTTACCATGGCCCTTTTGTGGTTAGATATCGCATTTGTTATTTCTGTCCTAACCAGTTATTTCGGTTGTGGCGTACCTGTTACGTTTAAAAGGGCATGAACTTAGGAAGCCCCCTATGCCAACCTACTGCAACGCATCCTTTATGTTAAAGCTCGCAGCCATATATGGACTGTATGCTTTAGCTCATCACCATCTATCTAGGTGAAAGGTCCCAAACATATGTATGCTAACTTTGCTTGCTCTGACTTTTCTAGCTCTTTGATCTTAGGACCTGAAGGTTCAGGACTGCATCAGAAGTCTCCCCCAATTCCAACCTCCACAATACTCTCAGCCATCCCAAAGAACTGCAGTAAAAGCTAGGGCAGGGATTGGCAACCTTTGGCATGCGGCCTGCCAGGATAAGCCCCCTGGCAGGCCGGGCCGGTTTGTTTACCTGCCGCGTCTGCAGGTTCAGCCGATTGCAGCTTCCACTGGCTGCGGTTCGCTGCTCCAGGCCAATGGGGGCTGCGGGAAGTGGCGCGGGCCAAGGGATGTGCTGGCTGCCGCTTCCCACAGCCCCCATTGGCCTGGAACCTGCGGACATGGCAGGTAAACAAACCGGCCCGGCCCGCCAGGGGGCTTATCGTGGCGGGCCATGTGCCAAAGGTTGCCGATCCCTGAGCTAGGGTAATGGCAAGATAAGGCAGGGACTTTAAAAAGATGCTTTGTTTGCAGTTCTGGAGGGAAGTTCTGGCTGGCAAGCTATTCTATTCTGTTCATGTTCCTATACCATGCTCATCACCGTGGTATCTGAGTGCCTTCCAGTAGTGCATTAAGCAATGTAACTAAGATTTGTCATGTATTTGTTCTCTCACCTTCTCCCCAGGAGGAGTGTGCACATTGGAGTGTCTTATTTTGGTAGGTGTGGTTTTAGGGTTTTTTTGAATGGTTAAATCATAGTGCCCTCAGACCCGTCTGGTGATATTGTATATTATTTGTTTTGCATTAGCACCTAGGAGCCCCAGCTGTGGACCAGGAATCCATTTTGCAAGGCACTGAACAAACAGAGTTCGTAATCTGCCTTTACCATTTGCACAGAAAGAGACACAGCCAACCAGTGTGGACTAGAGAAAGAGGTCAGGAACCAGAAAGAATAACACTGTTTGAACTCTTTTTCTTTTGGTGCTACTGACCTCTGTTTTGTTAACTTTATAATATTCTATGGTGTATTTACCACAAGGAGTACTGGATAAATGAGTTTAAACATTCCAAAGTGTATTTGGTCTTTGAACAAGGATGGGAACAATGCACTCAAAAATTTAAACAAAGTATGTTTTTATTCAGTTTTAGGCTCGCGCAGTTCTAAACAGTAAACCTAATTAACAATACATCCACAGTACCAAAGAATGTAGCTCTGGTATCAGTAGAAATGTCTACTGTTCAAGGCACTGATATTGGTAAGAAAAAGTTACATTATGTTGGTTACACCTATTTCAACATTATTTTAAAACCACTACGAATGTGATCACTATTCAAATGCTTAAAAATCCACAAGCTACATTCACAAAAATGTGCATACTTCTCAGTGATTACCAAATTACTTCCCCATTTAGACTTGGAGTAAATATTGCATTACTCTGGAACTGAAACAAGTGCTGAACTACAGAAAATATTTTAAAACATGTACAAATAAACAATTTTGGTAATATGGCTTTAAGACCCTGCATTTGGTTACAACATAGCAAGCAAAGTTAGATAACAGCATATACACACGATATGCTGTTGTCTTAAAAGGAAAAAATCCTTTACTGTATAAAAATTAGTTTAGAACATACTAAAGCCAGATTTTATACAAATATCTTTACAAAACTGAATTATACATAGAAAACAAACAAAAAAGTCAAATATGCAGCACTCTTCACATGTTAATATTATACCCATTATATTACTTAGTTGTATATTTTTACTATGTATATTGTAGATCAGGGATTGGCAACCTTTGGCACACGGCTCGCCAGGGTAAGCACCCTGGCGGGCCGGGCCGGTTTGTTTACCTGCCGCGTCTGCAGGTTCGGCCAATCGCGGCTCCCACTGGCCGCAGTTCGCCGTCCCAGGCCAATGGGGGCACGGGAAGCGGCAGCCACCACATCCCTTGACCCGCGCCGCTTCCCGCAGCCCCCATTGGCCTGGGATGGCAAACCGCGGCCAGTGGGAGCCGCGATCAGCTGAACCTGCGGACGCGGCAGGTACACAAACCGGCCCGGCCCGCCAGGGTGCTTACCCTGGCGGGCCGTGTGCCAGAGGTTGCCAATCCCTGCTGTAGATGATATAAATTATGGATGTTACAAACTAATTTTTAGCTCGGCACTTAGATACTATGGTGATGTGCACATTATAAATATCTAAACATTAGATTTTCAAAATTCCTTAAGAGACAAACATTTATATTTGCCAAAGATAGAAACGGTCACCTAGGTTTTTTAATGAACCATGGCAACATCTTGTAGTCAATTTAAGAATCCCAGACTTTTCTTTGGATTTCCTAGGGTGGTATTTCCTACAAAAGCTAACATGTTTAAAGGTAAAATAGTAGTTCAAACTCAAAAGGGAGTCATCTATCCCATGCATCTGCAACATCTCTATTTGGATACAATACAAAGTACAGTACATGACGTTTTCTTTCCAGACCACTGTTCATTAAAATACACATCTCCTTACCCTTTCATTACCTAAGGACTGATTCTGACTGATTTCAAGAACCCAGAAGTTCTTCTGAAGTCATTGGGAAGTGTAGGTATTCAGTACCTTTTAGAATTAGGCCCCTAAATATGGAACTTAGGCCACTACTAGTCAGTGAGGAAAAGAGAAATGTGAATTGCTGGTGTTTCACAGAGAATTCCAACAGGGAACATACAAAAATACTGTATACGACATTTAAAATGTCAAATACGATGGTCACAAGATTCAAAATTCAAGGTATTTCTGACAATAAATCCTCAAACCACACACACACACACACACACACATACACAAAATCAAGCTGGTTCCCTCTTCCTTTTCTAACAAGTGTAACACGTACTGGATTGAAACATTCAATGTTCTATGCAATATGGCAGACAAGTAGTACAACACAACACCAAAACTACAGTACAGCCTGTCTCTCACTAATCTGCAGTACCTTATTGAGATTTAAAATATTTTATATATTATAAATCTTCCCTTATACGTCTCTGTTTCTTTTCAGTAAATGAATCTTCCATCTTTGGTGCCAGCCATGTGAAATACACCTTGACTGGATCAACGTTCCAATGCTTGTGAAATGATATTGGAATTTGGTGAGCAAGGTAGTCCTTTGGATAGTCCATTGGTCTTGCCTAAGATGGGAGGATAAAACAAAAATACTAGTTATCACTGGTTTAAAAAATGCTGTTTTAGAACAGTAAAGTGAATTTTGGATAAAGAATCATCACTCAATAAACCTCTCATCTCGAATGTTTTGACATCAGTAATATAGTATTACTGTAAAAGATTCCATAATTATTGCAGTCATTTTTACATAGTCCTATTAAACTGACTGGCTTGCATTAATTTATATTAATGTATCCGACTTTTAAGGACTGCAATCATCATGGTGTTTGAGTCCTACTACTCAGCTAGACAAGGTTATAACTAGGGTTGTCAAGCGATTAAAAAAATTAATCACACTGTTAATAGAATACCATTTATTTAAATATTTTTAGATGTTTTCTACATTTTCAAGTATATTGATTTCAATTACAACACTATACAAAGTGTACAGTGCTCACTTTATATTTATTTTTATTACAAATATTTGCATTGTAAAAACAAAAGAAATACTATTTTTCAATTCACCTAATACAAGTATGGTAGTGCAATCTCTTTACCATGAAAGTTGAACTTACAAATGTAGAATTATGTATAAAAAATAACTACATTCAAAAATAAAAGTATGGAAAACTTTAGAGCCTATGAGTCCACTGAGTCCTACTGCCTGTTCAGCCAATCACTCAAACAAGTTTCTTTACATTTGCAGGAGATACTGCTGCCCGCTTCTTGTTTACAATGTCACCTGAAAGTGAGAACAGGCGTTCGTGTGGCACTGTTGTAGCCAGCATCAGAAGATATTTACGTGCCAGATGTGCTAAAGATTCATATGTCCCTTCATGCTTCAACCACCATTCCAGAGTGTTGCTCTTTTAAGACTTCTGAGAGCATGCTCCACACCCTGTCCCTCTCAGATTTTGGAAGGCACTTCAGATTCTTAAACCTTGGGTCGAGTGCCTTAGCTATCTTTAAAAATCTCACATTGGTGCCTTCTTTGCGTTTTGTCAAATCTGCGGTGAAAGTGTACTTAAAACGAACAACATGTGCTGGGTCATCATTCGAGACAGCTATAACATGAAATATATGGCAGAATGTGGATAAAACAGAGCAGGAGACATACAATTCTCCCCCAAGATGTTCAGTCACATTTAATTAACACATTATTTTTTTAACAAGTGTCATCAGCATGGAAGCATGTCCTCTGGAATAGTGGCCGAATCATGAAGGGGTATATGAATGTTTAGCATATCTGGCACGTAAATACCTTGGCAATGCCGGCTCCAAAATTGCCTTTTCTCACTTTCAGGTGACACTGTAAATAAGAAGAGGGCAGCATTATCTCCCGTAAATGTAAACAAACTTGTTTGTCTGAGCGATTGGCTGAACAAGAAGTAGGACTGAGTGGACTTGTAGGCTCTAAAGTTTTATATTGTTTGGTTTTGGGATGCAGTTATGTAACAAAAAATATATATATATATATTTGTAAATTGCACTTTCACAATAAAGAGATTGCACTCCAGTACTTGTATGAGGTGAATTCAAAAATACTATTTCTTTTGTTTGTCATTTTTACAGTGCAAATATTTGTAATAAAAAATAATATAAAGTGAACATTGTACACTTTGTATACTGTGTTGTAATTGAAATCAATATATTTGAAAATGTAGAAAAATATCCAAAAATATTTAATACATTTCAATTGGTATTCTATTGTTTAACTGTGTGATTAAAACGTGTGTGATTAATTTTTTGAGTTAATCGCATGAGTTAACTGCGATTAATCAACAGCCCTCGTTATAACATGTAAAAGTAGTAATAGAGCGAAACAACTAGAATATTTTCACAAATGTTTGTATTATGTTTTCAATTACATTTTCATGTTGAAACAAACTGCAAAATTTTAAAGTAATGTAGAATGAACTCATAGTCAGTCTGTTTTGAGGGGACCTGCCAGTTTAGAAATTATCATATTGAAATGATTTAATGACTAGCTGATTTCACAGTCTTTGCCAAGTTGGGAATATGAAAGATATAGAAATGAGGGATAATCTTAACTGGCCAGGCACACCAAAAACAAATAAAACTTAGAAAAAGTACTTGGCCTGGATTTTTTTCACTATTTGTTTTCTTTATTCACAACGCAACTCCAGACCTCCTTATCCCAGATAATCCCAAAAAGAAACATTAACTTTTTATAGCTTTATTTTAGGGGTTGCTAGAAGCTAATTGCTCTCTCTCTCTATATATATATATATATATACACACACACACACACACACACACATATTCCACCACAAAAGATTCTTACAACCCTTTTTTGAGAAGCTTTTATGTTGATGCAGCACACCTTTGAACTGGGGCAGGAGGAAAGCCCTCGGGCTAGAGAAGTGTCTTTTCTTTGTCCTTTGAAATTCCATTTAAGTTTTGCTGAGATATAGATTTTTGAAAATTGTCATTTCCCTTATCTCACTTGCGTTTCCTCAGAAAATTTTTGAGACTGCCAAAATAATAATTAAACACAAGCATTCTGAAGTGCTGCTACAACTGCTGCAATACTGATTTTTAAATGCTTTGGATCTGCAGGAGCAGCTGCTGGATGTGGGGCAGCAAGAGGAAAGCTGAGCCAGGCTCTGTCCCCAGCAACCCACATCCCCACTCTGGAGGCACCATATAGCAAGAGCTCCCTCAGGTCCTTCCTGGGAGGAAAGGGAAAGCCAGTCTGAGCTCTCCCCAACAACCCCCTAAAGCGTATTCTTCTTTAGGATCACAGTTTTTCCTGTCAAATGGTTGAAGTCTGTGCTGCAGGCAGAAGGGTCAGGGTTCAAATGCTACTGCTGATGCATGATTTTGTGTCTGTATGGGGGGTGTTATTACAGTTGCACATAATATAATTTTCACATTTTTCCTTTTAAGAAAAACCTAGGAAATTACATTAAAAATGTTAAGAAAACGTTGCAAAGGTTGTAAAGTCAAATACTTTAAAGTTAAGAAATGCCACATTTGTGGTTGCCTAAAGAGGCAGATAGACACAGAATAGAATCATAGAATATCAGGGTTGGAAGGGACCTCAGGAGGTCATCTAGTCCAACCCCCTGCTCAAAAAAGGACCAATCCCCAGACAGATTTTTGCCCCCGATCCCTAAATGGCCCCCTCAAGGATTGAACTCACAACCCTAGGTTTAGCAGGCCAATGCTCAAACCACTGAGCTATCCCTCCCCCCATACAGTATTTTCAATTTGAATAGTATTTTCAAAAGCACTTCCAATCAGACTTAGGCACTTCATTGTTTTTGAAAATCCCACTAGGTGCCTAAGCAACTAAATTTAGTCATTTGTCATTGCCAGGGGAGGGGGACTGAGACATCTCTGTAGCACTATTAAAATGGGTATTTGCCCACATTTTACATTTTTTAAAATCTACTTTATCTGTTTTCTCAGACTTTTTCTGGGTGGAAGGGGTGAGCAGGGGGAGGTTGTAGTGGGAATGTCTGCTACTGGGACAGGGATTTTAAGGAGTTGGGTGCACTTTAAATGAATAAGTTAAATAAATATCATTTTCAATACTTGTAAAAATGTGTCTCTCACCTGATGGAAAAGTGGGCAGTGTGTTATGGGGATTCCTAAACCACTGAAACACATTCCAAGGACCATATCATCTGGAGCATCATTGCTGTAACACTGGCATTTACTAGCAAGTAGTTTTTGGATTGCTTCTCTGCTGAAAACCATCCTAAACAATAAAAGCAAACAGAAAGTGTGAGACACTCATTACTAATATAGCTGAATAACTGTAAACAATTTCCATTTATTAAGTCTTACTCAATGGAATAAAATCACAACATGGATTTGTTGGTGCATAGTATTTGGGAAACTGAAAGATGTTAGGAGATAGCATTCAGGCTTGAATTCTTAATGAGGATTTTTCTGAGACATATTTATTCTAGATAGTAAAATCAAATTATGATGTGATTTATTTAATTACAGAAAATCTTAATTACCCCAAATTTTACTTGGTAGTGATCCTTACCTGTCCCTTACCTCCACACATTTTTTCTTGATGCAGGGTGAGGGGAGAACTCTGTTTGGAGGAATGGAGAATATACATAGGACATGTAGAGTATTCAGAAATCCTGTCGTTACATAATTTAGTCTCGTGTCTGAAGTTGATGTGTGTGTTTTTATATGAACTGAATACTCATCTCTTTTCCCCTCCTCTGAAACTATCTACTAAAAATGCAATTATAAAAAGTATTTAATGAAGTATCTATATTGTGAAAAATGTTTTAAGCTAAAAAAAAAAAAAGTTACTCTTGACAAAAATATCTAACTTTTAACAGATGATTTTCTTGTGGGTTCCACTTGTTTTGGATTTGCTTCTTGCATAGTTTGGTAAAAACATTTTGTTTTTTCTTCTATCTTGTTCATCTGGATAATTAGAACGCAGCAGTATAAAAAAAAGAGAAAACTAAATCTGAACTGCCATTTTTCCTGGTAACATGTTACATATCGCAATCATATATTAGAGCTCTGTCCACAGGAACAGACCAATATCTTAAACTGTGCAGCAAAGTTTTACTGTTCAGCTTGGCTCCCTATGACTGTTCATTGAAATATCATCTGCAGCATGGATGCCTTCAGGTCTCTACCAGTAAAACAAGCCTCTGATAGCTGCTGCTCCACAGAAGTCTCATGATGATCCAGAGCTCTGCAGCTGAGGACATACTCTCTTGCTTCACATTCTATGACTCTCCCTTCTCTGTCTATAACTCCATCCAGTTTTACCACTATATATGGTAAACTAGATGTTAAGGAAGCTCATCATAGCTGCCCAACTCTCCACAAGATATTCTCTTCTTTTTTTGGCAAAAAACACCTGCTTGAGTTCACTCGCTATAACAGAATCCTTAAATGGCAGCTGGTGTGTCGACTCAGATACATCCAATACAAAATTCAAGGAAAAGGTTTTGAATATTGTCAGGATCAATGTTGTTAAAGGCTTTAGAAACAGCAGTGCCAATTTAAGGTCAATCTGCTAGGCAAACAGGAAAAAGAATAGAGCGCAGGCATAATATAATCCTAACCAGTCATGTTGCTGTATTCTGATCAAGCTGCAAGCAAAGGAGCAACTGTATTGAAAACCTTGAAAAAAGGAAGTTATAGTAATCATGACTGGAACACCATGTGTTGCTGTTGAAAAGTTGTCATAGAAGAATAAAATAAATAGTATAAAGTTAGCAAATTAAAAACCCCACGACTTGATAACAGAAAGGGCATGGTCAAAGTGATTACAAGATCTTTAACTTTACTCACTACCTGCCAAAAAATCTCCTCAACAATAAACAGGAATATGAAGGAGAAGTGAGCTATTTTATATACATATCTTCACAGACCTGAGTACCAGAAAGCTATGATGGTTCTTGAAGGTATAGTAAAAATCACAGTACAAACAACAGAAAATATAAAAAATCTGTTCGTAATTGGCAAGCACTCCAGCATCAAAAGAAAGGGGTAAACTCTGCATAATTAAGAATGATGGGCACATTCCCAGGCTATGCAAGACAATGAAAACGCCAGCCAATTAGTCTTATTTATTTATGGACATAAATAAATATTATACTAACTCAGTTTTTTTCCTGGAGAATACCGATTTTACGTGTTTTAAGGGCATTCAGAGCATGGGACTGAATAATTTAGATTTTAACTTATCTAAATAGAATAATGGATCTACAACTACCCAACAAACAAAATGGACAGAGATTAGAACCACAAGCGATGGATCTCACTAATGTTATTTGGATCAACCTAGAAGATCATGGATATATTCATCTGAAACCCAAATCATTCACCAAATCCATTGGGAAATTATAGTTCTCAACCATAAGGACTGGACAATCGATCTGCAATGATCTCTCTACAACAGAAACTATCTTTCATTGATACCAACACTAAAGAACTCACTCGCCTACCTCTTCAGAACATGAGTTAAAAACCAAAATGGAGACAATCACTTTCACTCACACATAGACAAAAAAAGAGGGAGAGGGATGGTCCCGCAGCAAAGGCAATAACTGTGCTCTAAGCCCCCCCCCCCCGCTTTTACTGCCACTACATTATATCATGTGATAAAACATTATTCTTGTCACCTCTGTGTGATCTATAATATTCCAAAACATTTGCATTGGAAGAATGACTGTTTTAGCTCTCAGTAGGATTTGAAATAAAGTAAGTTACCCTCCTCCGCCAGTGATATAACTATATCCTCCTGTTCCCAATCCGTAGCCATAACGCTCTCCAAGAAACACTGGTTCATTTGGGTCATAGCAGCTGAGTAATCTCCGGAGCCTAAAGATACTAAAATGAGAGTCCATTTATTAAAAATATATTAAATCAGATATAGATCTTTATTTCTTTAAAACAAGTTTCAAAATACTTAAACTGACAACTTAAAAGGCATTTTGGAATACAGTATAGAAAAATACATGTAAATTAATTGTGAGAATTCCAGGTAAAATAGTCAGGCGATCTGAACTTGGTAATGGAAGTTTAAAGCTAATTAGGCCATTTCCTTTGAAAAATAATTCATAATACTTCAAATGATTAACTAGATAGTTCATAAAACATTTCTCAAAAGAAACAAATATGTTCCTCAGCAACACTGAGTCTTCAATTTTAAAGTATACTTGGATTTTTCCAGACTACACTGAAAGAAGGGTAGGGAGGTAGAATTTTCGAAGACTGAAAGGCTAACAATACTGCCGTGATCTGTGGCCTTATTTTATTATTATTATTATTATTTATATGACAGTAACAAAAAGAGTCCCAAGTACAGTAACTCCTCACTTAACGTTGTAGTTATGTTCCTGAAAAATGCGACTTTAAGGAAAATGATGTTAAGCGAATCCAATTTCCCCATAAGGATTAATGTAAATGAGGGGGTTAGGTTCCAGGGAAATTTTTTTCACGAGACAAAAGACTATATATATATATATATATATACACACACACACACACAATATAAGTTTTAAACAAACAATTTAATACTGGTACACAGTGATGATGATTGTGAAGCTTGGTTGAGGTGGAGGAGTCAGAGGGTGGGATATTTCCCTTACTGCTAAATGATGAACTAGCAATTGGCTGAGCCCTCAAGGGTTAACTCTCTCACTCTGCAAGGCAGCAGGAATGGAGGGAGATATGCTCATTTCCCTTAAGTACACTACCTTGTTAATTAGATCAGCTTGCTGAGACCGCAGCTGCTACAAGCTCCTTCTGTCCTGAGCCCTGCTCTAAGGAATATGGGGTAAGCGGGGTGCAGGAGCAGGGGGGAGAGGGACACCCTGACATTAGCCTCCCTCTTCCTTCCCTCCTCTTCCCCCCCCCTCCGGCACAGCAAGCAGGAGTCTCTGGGAGCAGCTCCAAGGCAGAGGGCAGGAGCAGCACATGGCAGTGGGGGAAGGGACACAGCTGAACTGCAGGCAGCTGCTGCACAGGGAGCTTAGGGGAGCGGGGAGCTGATAGGGGGCTGCCGGTCCACCCTGGTTCCAAGCCCCCACCAGCTAGCTGCAACGCGCTGCTCATCCTGCAAGCAGTAGACAAAGGACGTTAGAAGGGAGGAGTTACTGTAGGATCAGGATCTCAAAGACAATCTTTGCTTGGGCCTCTTCATGCTACTCTAAAATGATTTTACAGCTAAACTAACACAAACTGCAAAAAAGGTGCTCTAGGTCAGTGGTTCTCAACCCTTCCACACTACTTTACCCCTTTCAGGAGTCTGATTTGTTTTGTGTACCCCAAGTTTTATCTCACTTAAAAACTACTTGCAAGCAAAATCAGACATAGAAATACAAAAGTGTCACAGAACACTATTACTGAAAAATTGCTTACTTTCTCTGTTTGTCTGTATGAAATTTTAAGTTTGTACTGACTTTGCTAGTGCCTTTTTATGTACCCTGTTGTAAAACTAGGCAAATATCTATATGAGTTGATGTGCCCCTTAGAAGACCTCTGTTTACCCCCAGGGGTATGCATACCCCTTGTTGAGAACCACTGCTCTAGTTCAGCCACAAACTATGGACAGGAATCATTGCATGTGTGTATATATAAAAACATTCCAAATTTTTTCTTTTAAAGAAAATCTGATCCTATTGTTTTAAAATCTGTTCCCCTGACCTTTCAAATGGCAGATTTGATGCCTTTATGCACAATGAGTAGCACTTTGCTCCATATGTATGGTGTAAGGTACTATTAAACACTGAATAATCTGGTTCTAAATCCATTTACTTCTATTTTTCTTTTTTAAACCTCTATTTCATTCCTTTTTATAACCTCTATTTCCATACTTTATATCTTTATACTTTTGAACTACTCCTTTCTCTCTTAAAACTGGTTTTGATGTATTCCACAACGTACTTAGAGAAGAGAGATATCTTTAATAGCTTAATAAATAATTTCAAAATTGCTATTCAAGCAGAATAATTACGTCTGGATTTTGTAACTGAATTATTCATTCTCTAAACCAGAGTCGGAGTCTCTCTCTTGTCAAATGATTTATCATCAACACAGGTGGCAAACTGGAACACTTGTTAAAATTCTTATTTCATAGTCAGTCATTATATTCTCCCCAAAACATTAACTCAGTCTTTGGATAACAGCTTCATTGATCATAGTGTTATCATACCATATAGAATTAAGATTTCAATAGCTATCAATTAGCTATAATTAATTTCTCTTCCCTTTTTAATTCCCTTCCTTTCTTTTGTTCAATCAAAAAGAATGAGGAATTATGTAATTTTTTACAGTAATCTCCAAAGTAATGAGCATCAGTTTTTGTAATCTGGTGTGGAAAATATGCTGAGAAATTACTATAGTACAGATGATGGAATTTTTAGTTCATGGGAATTTTTGATATTTTGAAATCTGGTTTCAGTCTAATTTAAGAATTACCCATGAACTGGGGAGTCTGAAAAATTTTATTTGAAAACATGGTGTTTCTGAACAAAAAAATGCATCCTCTGATCTTGGCAAATGCTGCGTGAAACTGACATAATTCTTGTCAGTTTCACTACTCTCCACCACTGAACAGGAGAGGTGAAACTGACAACAATTGTATCAGTTTTTCAATTAGTAGTTGCTGGGCCTTCTACAGTCTGTAGCTCCTGGGCAGACCCACCATGCAGACTGTCTTGGGCTGGGGCTGCAGAGCTTCCAGACTGCTGGGCCAGCTGGCTCCCTAAACTCTTGGGGCAGTTCGTACCAGGACTTCCAGGCTCCTGACTCCATGGCACTGAACCTGGAAGCCCCTAGAGCCTGAGGCTCCTTCTATCAAGTTGGGAGCTGAGCCCTGTTAGAGCCTGGGTCCCAGACTTCTAGGCTCCCAGCTTCATGGCAGCCTGGAAGCCCTGAGACATGTTGCCCCACAGCTGCAGATCCTGGAAGCGCTGGGATTTTTGGAGCAGGTTGCAGGGCAGGGCTGCGCCCGAGCTACAAACCCTGGAGTCCTGATTCTGGGGCAGTCCCAGGCTCCCCAGCAACCCCAGGAACCAGACAGGGTTCTGATAGAAGCCTGCCTGTGATTCAATAAAAAGTTGTTGAACCCAAGGTATTTCTGCAAAACACTTGGGGTTCGACAATTTGTATTTTCCGACGAAACAGGAAATTCCCAACAGCTCTAATTTATTCCTCATTTGTCACTGTGGGATCACCATTACTCCATGTGAGTTCTGCAACACCAACTCCCCTTCAAAATGTGTTGAATGTAAAGCAGTAAATGCGTATTTTTCTGCTTCTCCATGACTGTTCAAATTACCAACTTGCTATTTCTTTGAAAGCAATAATAAAATATAATTTACTAATCTACTTTGAAAGAGACAGTAAACATTTCTAGGGCGTTTCTTTTTTAGAAAATTAGATTGTGTTCAAACATGACAATTTTCTAACAAAGCCAAGCCCTAGACATAGGTATGGTTGGCTGTTAGGACTAAGAATGGGTTTGGAGCCCTCATCCTCTGGGATCTGCTCCACATCAGGAAAATGCACTGTATTAGAAAATGTGTTAACTTAAAGTTAGTCACAACCAGTTAATGCCTTATATGCTCTTGTATCAACAGATTGCAATATATGACTGTCACATATTCAAAGTAGTGACAGATTATTATGTGTATAAATTATTTGTTATAGGAGATTTTATAAGAGTAAACTGTATTTTTAAAAGGAGTCCAGGAATATATGGAGCAAAAGATAGTGCTCCTATTTACTGGAGTATAAATCAAAATAAATAAATATTTCTAAAACTCTTATTAATACAAATTAAGAGCATTTCTGAAATACTGTAATTCGTACCTTATTAAGGTGTCATCATCCACAATGACTAACCATGGTGTTTTGGAAGAGCTGTGATTCAAAAATCTTTCCAAAATGGCAAAAGTCTTCCCGCAATGACCTAAAAGGGGGAGGAATAAGAGAAAGAACATACTGTACATTGTTTTTGAGAGAGAGAGAGAGAGAGAGAGTGTGTGCGTGCGTGTGTGTGTGTGTGTGTGTGTACAATTATTTGTAAATTAATCTGAATGACACATTGTACTGGATAATACAGTGTTGACCAAAGTATTGAAACATGTTTGTGCAGATAATGGCAAAGTGGCAAAGGAGCTGAGGATCCAAATTTCAATTTGTATTGTAGAGATTTTGATTTGGATGTGATTCCACAATAGGCTCCTTTCTATGAGGCAACATGGCCTACTGAGCAGGGCACTAGACTATGATTCCAGAGACCTGGGTTCTGTTCCCTGGTCTACCACTGGCCTGCTGGGTGACCAGGGCCAAACCAACTCACTTCTGTTTCCCCATCCATAAAATGGGGATAATGTAATTACTTCCTTTGTAAAATGCTTTGAGGTCTATGCGTGAAATGTGCTATATAAGTATTATTCATACCCATAAATTAAACTTAACAATGCACCAGGTCAGTATATAATTAGATTTGTTTTGTTAAGACTTGAGTGGGCACAACCAATCAATGGAATAATCAAAGGTATAGGCATTAACTCTGATTAAATCATAGCTCCTGATAGCTTCCCCAAAGCAAAAGCTTTAGAATTTAATAAAAAGCAGTGTTTTATAGCTGGTAAGTGAGAATCAAAATGGCAAAAGAAATAAAGAGTCATACAAGCTTAGTTAAAGCTAAAAATGTCTTCCAGGAAGATCAAACTGTAAATCACGAACACTCACTAAAAATCACTTGTGTTCAAGAGAGATATTTCAGAAGCAATTAACACTATTAATGCGTCATGTAATAAAAAAACAAACAAATAAGATTGAGGTATTATAGTTGGGATTTTTTCAACAAAAACACTTTTTGACACACAGCAGAATATTTTTGGTTAAAAACTTCGCTTTTTTTCCTCCTGGCATTGAGAACCTCTATTTATCTATACTTTTTTTTTAATCCATTAACATAATAAAAATGGATTTACAGCAAATGTTTCCAGTTCTATGCTATCCATTGAAGAGAAATACACCAAGTGAAGTGTGTGAAAGAAGGCAATAAAATGAGAATGAACAAACCACTGAAGCCATAGTATCGAAGGCTTTTTTCTGTTCAAGGGCACCTTAAATTATTACTTTAAACTACTATGTTACGTGCTCAGACAAAATACTGTTTGATTTTTCCATTTAGTTTCAACGTTTAAAAACACAGGCATACTAGATGTAGGCACATATTACTTTGAAACCATCTTGTAAGTGCTTCGTGCTACAGCAACCAGTTGGCATCATATAAGGTCTTCTGTTATGAATGTATCACTCTGACACTGCTACTGCAACAACCTTAATATCAACAAGATTGATAGAATAGTGATGGCAGAAGGAAACATTTCAACAGACAGAAAACTGTCCACTCAGGCATTTTTACTGTGCCCACGTCCATAGTAGCGAGGCATCAGATCATAAGAAAATGATTCTGTCCAAAGGAACTGTATTCTCCACCCATCTCTTGTTTTGTGTGATTAGTAAGAAGAATTTTTAGTTTATTTTTACTTCCAAAGGACTGTGCTACAAAAATGTAACACTTCAGCATAACTTACTATACACTGAATAGACATTTCACCTTGAAAACTTATCATACTCATACAATTAAATTGTCTGTAAAGATAATATTAGAAGCTTACCTCTTTCAGTATTAGGTACTCCTAAATCTATAGTAGGAATGGAGGTCTCTGCATAATCACTATAATATTCAACAAGGGTAGCCTCACCTTCCCAGGTCTGCTTTACAATCGGTACTGAAAAATAATTAGTCGTATTGAAACATAAGAATGGCCATACTAGGTCAGACCAATGGTCCACCTAGCTCAGTATCCTGTCTTCCAACAGTGGCCAATGCCAAGGTGCTTCAGAGCGAATGAACAGGGCAATTATTGAGTGATTCGTGCCCTGTTGTACACTTGCAGCATCTGGCAGTCAGAGGCTAGCGACACTCACACCATGGGGTTGTATGCCTGACCTTCTTGCCTAATAGCCATTCATAGACCTATCCCTCCAGGAACTTACCTAATACTTTTTTTAATCCAGTCATAATTTTGGCCTTCAGAACATTCCCTGGCAATGAGTTCCACAGGTTTACTGTGCAGTGTGTGAAGAAGTATGTCCTTTTGTTTGTTTTAAACCTACTGACTATTAATTTCATTGGGTGACCACTTGTTCTTGTGCTATGTGAAGGAGAAAATAACACTTCCTTATTCTCTTTTTCCACACCATTCATGATTTTATAGACCTCTATCATATTCTCTCCCCCTGCTTAGTTGTCTCTTTTCCAAGCTGAAAAGTCCCTGTCTTTTTAATTTCTCCTCAGAGGGAAGCTGTTCCATTCCCTTAATCATTTTTGCTGCCATTCTCTGTACCTTTTCCTATTCTAATATATCTTTTTGAGATGGGGCAACCAGAACTGCATGCAATATTCAAGGTGTGAGCATACCATAGATTTATATAGTGGCATTATGATATTTACTATCTTATTTTCTATCCCTTTGCTAATGGTTCCTAACATTGTTAGCTTTTTTCACTGCAATGCACATTGAGTGGATGTTTTCAGAGAATTATCCATGATAAACTGCCAAGATCTCTTTCTTGATTGGTAACAGCTAATTTAGAAACATAAGTAGCTACCGTTTATTTAAATGGCTGTACTGACCAAATTAAACCAGAGTGCTTTTCAGTGAGGCCAAAGGCAAAGTGGAAAAACACTGCTTGGAAAGTTTTAGTTACATACATTGCTTATGCTGCAGGAATAGCTCCACGTATAACAAATGGAATTATACTGAAAATTTGTAAAACTGAGTTCTCTCAAAACAGAGTTATTAACCAGGAATGTAAATAAAGAAATAAAAGAGATAACCTAATCGCGTCTTCCTAGACATTCCCTGATCTACTTACATATCTGGGGTTTCAAATGAGTAGTTTTTCTAGGTATGATACAGATGATTTTTCATACCTGGCCCAAAGCTTCTTACAGCATCGCTGCTCTGTCCCCCTCTCTCTGGGAGAACAACACAGACAGGCAAAAGGGGAGTCTTGTTTCAATTTTAAAAAGTTCTAGCCTTCCCACTGGCTCTTTTGGCCAGGTGCCCACTCAATTCCTTTTACCTATGCATAGCAGCGAGACTTTTTAACCCTTTACAGGTAAAGCAAGTAGAGAACAGCTACTAAGAGGGATTTTATAGCTAACTGTCTGGCTGGGTGTCCATAAAAGGGAGCTACCTCCCCTCCCCTTCATTTATCATAAATGTTCAAAACAAAGATAAGAAATTGTTGCAAATCTCTGTCCTGATTATGTGCAGGGTTTGTGTAAAGAGTGTGAAATGTGTGTTTTACAAAATATGCCCCATCTACCAGGTACAGACCATTATAGGCATCACTTTGACTTTGAACACACGTCAAAGAAGATAGATAAGAAAGATGTATTAGATTTAAAGTAATGCAAAGAAATTGTGAAATCCTCTGTTTATTGAAAACATCCCAGAGGCGTTAGGTGCCTAACTTTGAGACAGCTGACCAGCTGCATTGTGGTGTCCCGGATTGCTTGACAGCATATTGGCCTTCCTTTCTGTATTACGCTGTTTGTTTTGTCTTTTACTCATAAATTGATTAAACCTATGTTATTTGACATCTCGTGTTATAATCTAAATCAAACCCATAACAGTTGGATGCCTGGTAGCTGATATATTCAGTGGCATGGTAATGAAAATGCTGCCTCTAAATAAGGCATCATGATCCTAACACTTATGCTGGTCTTTTCAGTACTACAGTAGTTAGAAGAGGCAGCTTTATAGTTCTGTGAAAGACAAGCCACAAGTGGTTGGGTGAGTTTTACATAAAAATAAAATTTCTCATAAAATATGAGTGTATTTTCATTCATACTGTATGAAGGATGTAATCCAACACCCTTGTACAAGATGTTTAAATAAATGCTGACCAGGCATATTCTTTACATCTGTGTTAGATTTTGTTTATAATGCTGTGGTAACAATTATTATAGCGGTGCGGGAGTGCCACTATAGTTAAGTTTGCATCATGACATCTATTTAAAGGTATACCTTTCTAACTCCTCTAAAATTGACATGCTTAGTCAGATTTTCTTTAAAATTTGGTGTGCCTCAGGAGGGTACAGGGTAGGGTTAATCATCTGGAGTCATTTGAGCCAGGGTTTCCAGAGATATAAGCCCTGACAAAATTAACATTTAAAAAAAATTGTAGATGTTTGGGGTTTTTTTGCCCAGAGCTAGAGATCAACTGATTAATGTGATGTGGATCAAATGGTCCAGGTCTGTTTAGTTTTATCCAAGATAGTGCATGACACCCACTACATCTTTGGTGGGACTCAAGTTGAGAGCAGTATTTTAGGAAATTGTACATTTTAACACTGCTCATGTGACAATACAGTAAAACGGCCTGAGGGTTTCCATTCCTGCCATTTGAATGCTCAGAAGTTCAACTCTTGTAAGTGCTTTAAAATATGAATGGTTAATCAGATTGCTTTGTAATTTGGTGAGCCTCATGTGGGTGCAGGGCAGCATTAGTGATCCAAATTTGGGATCATTTGACCAAGGAATTCCTGAGTTACAACTTCTTCCCCCCAAAAAACCCCCACATGGTTTCCTTCTGCTGGTACTGTTAAACTAAGAGGTATTAATGACTGGATGAATAAACAGTCCCCTGGCTGGCTGTGAATTCATCCTTCAGTGAATGCATCTATTCTAACCTATGACAAAGAGGAATTTTGAACTGAATGGGGGAAGGTTTCTACAATTTGTGAGTAATGGGTGGCAATTTTATTTTGGGAGGAATGTAATCCAAATAATTTTTGGGAAAAAAATAGACATGTGAATGTTTCCTGGAAGGGGAGGGATAGTAGAAGGTGGGGGAATGGGGAAAATAGGAGTAGAGGGGTTTGGGGCTTCAGTTTGGGAAAGCAAGAGGTTTGGCATACCCCAGCTCTGCCAGTGTACCTCAACCCCCCTGTGCGCCTCCAGCTCTGCCAATGCACCCCAAGCCCCTGCAGCCTCAACAGTGCCAGTACACCCCAAGTCCCTTACTCCAACCTTTCTGCACCCCACACTTCTGCCAGTACAAGAAAACTATTAATAATTGTTGGAAGAACATTAATTGTAAAACTGGATGGTTCATGGCTGACCAGAAAATGTGAACTGTGTGGCATAGAAATATTACAATATGACAGCTCAGTGGATTCTTCATAAAGAAAGATCGTACTTGATTTGGATGTTTGCTTTCCTGTACTATGCACTATTCACATAAGTAGTTACAAGAGTCATTTATTCTTGCCTGAATAATAATCAATTTAAGGATTAAGGTGAACAAAAAGATAACTGTTGTTTAAGAATGGTGAGAACTGGTGAACAAAACTTTAAGATCTGTAGAAGATATGATTCCACGGCAGTAACATTCTGCTCTAGAAGATACTGTTTTAAAAAATATTTTGGAGCACTTCTTTAAATGTGTTTTTATTTTTTTGCAAATTGCAGCAAACCCCCAAAAGTAAATATACGCAAAATATTATGTCAATACAATATTAAGGTTGAGATTTGAATTGCACTGAACACAGGAAGTTCCCATCACCTTAAGTCTGCCTCCTTGTACATAACATATTTCAAAGCGACTTTCACTACTTGATCACTCCACATTGCATAATGTTGCATTATATCGCAATGAAAACAAAGGAAATGTACTTTATTCTAACTATAAATGCACATCTTTACCAAAAGTTCTTAAGCAGATTTGTAATATTGCCCTTTGGATGATATCTATGGCAACTCAACTGTGTGCTCCTGGTTTATATTTGAATTGCACCTCTTTCTAAAACCTTGGATGCACATTTTATTCTTTTAATGTGATCATAAAAGGCATACATGCAAGAGGGAGAGTTAAAGTTGTGGTAAATTCTTAATTTTAAATGCCCTCACTTACATGTAATTAAATTTGCAGCCTTAATGTTGCATTAATGTAGCTTTTGGCATATAATAAAAAAATGACTTACTGGGAAAAAGGAGCTTTCTGAAGCTGGCATCCATTAATCTTTCACATTCTTGGGCGACATTATCCTTCATTGTGGAACACTGGAAGCTGTGAGGAAAGTTCAAGAATTTTCCTCCGTCTTCAACATGTGTTCCTTGAAGGATGTTTATACCGTGCATTCATGTCCTCCAGCCTTTAAAGCCTTCGATTCCTTTTTTTTTAGCTCTAATATAGTAGCTTTTTTTTTTTTAAATCATCAGTGAGGTGGGAAAGTAAACATGGATGCAGTTCTTCAGTCAACTCCATTTACAGTATATGATAGTCGATTTCCTTTTGCCAAAAGGTATATGTTACAGATAACCAATCTCTAGGAGACCAGAAGCATGCCTTGATTAAGTAGAACACAAAGTCTTAAAAAATAAACTAAATAAAATAGATTTTATTCTGAAAAAATAGGGCATAAAGCCTTGATACATAAGTAAGAGCAGAGCATGGCTAAGTTGAACAGTGTCTTCTTGCACAGAGACCAAATCATGGCTGAGATTTCAAGTGACACAACATTTGATTTTATCCTTAGCCATCATTTGTAATCACCACCAAAACCACTAGTAATAAATATACTATTTTTAAAATTTATGAATAAAACAAGTGTAATAGTTTCACCCTAGATGCTCGTGGGATCCTTGTCCACATAAGAAAACAATTATACTATTCAGAATGTTTAGGAATCTCTTCTCACGAGAGCATCCAGGACTAGAACAGAATGAGTGGTAGATAGGTAACAGAGAGGGAACGCTGTCATCCACTGGTTAAAGCACTGGACTTGGAAGTCAGGAGATACGGGTTTTACTCCCTGGTTTCCCTATTGCTAAGGGTTATGTCTACACTAAAGCATTGAAGGCTTGCCACATGTTGTTTCTCAGGCCCCTCTACCATCCATACTCAAAGCCGTTAAACACACGTCTAGGCATGTGTTGAACCTCTGCTGGCATCCTCAGCTAGGAAGTATGTTGAAAAGCCCACATTGAGCTGTGAGTCACACCACTACCCACTCACTTTGGACGGTGGAGGTAGCAACTGCACAGGTACCGGGGCTTCTGTTTCGATAGACCACCAATGTCATTCCTACAATTTCATGTACTTTTATCTTCTGTGTCCCTTTACTTAATCACTTCCTATTCACCCCTTATCCACCAGAAGCTACCTGCCATTTATATACCCTTGCTCAGCGTTTAATGCAGCCTGGTCCAGTTTCTATGCAGCTCAACCCAGCTCTGCCGAACAGCAAAATGCCCACCCACCCAGTGTGCTGCTAGCCTGCCAGAGGAGCAAACCAGAGGTTTTAGTTAACTTCTGGTGTGAGTAAAGACAATCTCAAAGCAGGTGGTGGAGCTGGCATGCACCAGACTGGCGTGCAATGCAGGGAGTGCATCAAGTACTGAAAACCCTCTACCACAAGACTAAGAATGGCGATGGCAAGTCTGACAACTGCCCCTCCACAAGCCCCTTCTACAAGGAGTTTGACTGGGTCCTTACTACCACCCTTAGCAGAGAAGCCACTGTCCTCCACAACCTATTTCTGAACATGCATGGTCTTGTGATGAGACTGGAAGACAGTGGGGATGGCACCAGAGAAGACCATGGTGGAGCAGGGATTAGAGTCCCAAGAACAGACTGTGGAGCTGGAAACCCAGCCATATCACCCTAAACTATTAAAATAATTTGTGCTCAAATGGTAAATATTGAATAATGGTGCTCCCTTCACCACTTCTGTCGTTTCTTCATATAATATGAATTGCACTTCACAGTTCCCTCTTATTCAACCCCCCATTATGGTCTTCTCAAAGAATAATTCACCATGCATAACTTTTGTGCCCCTGTCTTAATTCCTGGGAGGTCAACCTCATACAGTAAGAAAAGAAGAGAAAGACTAACTGGGAGAAAATCTAGTATCTAAAATTTAAACTCTTCTTTTTAATAAATATACTGTTTTACTATAGAATACATGCCTACAGTAACAATTACTATAGTCACATAATGTTTTCTGATAGAATAACAAATTAGCAACATCAATAAACTTTACCTAACACACAAGGTGTGAGGCACACAGACTTGCATTAAAAAACCTGAACCCCAAAATTGTGATTTTAGGAGCAAAAGACTTTTTTACTCTGACTGAGTTGAAGTCCAATCTTTCACACAGATTGTGTGTGTCAACAAGATACTATTCGAAAGTTGAGAGGCTGAGAACCAAAATATAAAGGTTAAGTTATAAGAATGTCTGTAAACAGAAACCATCCCCCTCATGGCTGAGTAAATGTATGATTGGTGTATTCCTATGATTTTATTTCCAACTTTTTAAAAATTATTTTTGAGTCAGGGCTTTTTAGGATAGTCGAATAATGCCTGTAGACTGACCTTTGACCTCAAATGTTTCAAAATACACCTAAACTTGCTGACCAAGTCACTGAGTATATTTTGGATCTATGGACTTTCCTGAACTTGAAATTACTAGAATGGGGAGGCACTTTGTTTGCATAAAGGTGACCTAACCTGCCCCTACTAGGTAATGCCAATGGCCTCAGAACAGGAGAGAAGCTCCTGAGAGGAGTTCCAAAGCGGGGGCGGGGGGGGGGGAAGAGGAGGGAACAGGGGGGGGGGGGAGGGCAGGACCAGCCAAACCACCAGCTTCAAAAACTGAACATTAGGAAGACGACCTGCTACTGGCTTCTGGCTTGTTTGCCTGCAATGGCTGCTAGCATCTGGCTACAGAATGCCTAAATAAGAGGCTTGTGCTTCCTCCATTGTCCCAGCAAGGCCACCAATGGGTAGGAGTCCAGCAACATGCAACATTTAAGATTCAGCATCTTCAAGCAAGTAACCTCTAGGCAGCCAGCAAATGTGTCAACATTAAACATCAAAGCCAGTAGGACCAATGGCTAATCTTTTCAACCATGTACCAGATTCTTGAGGCTGAATGAAACCACAAGAATTGTGACAACCATCCTGCATAAGTATCCGTCTTTTTGGTTTTGTTTTCTTTTCTCATATTTTTTATTACCAGAAGGATGTATCTACCATAGAATTCTTGCACTTGTTTTTAACTCCAGCAGATGGCTGGTAGCGCATGTAAGTGTACAGAAGTGTGTGGATAGAACCCATAGAACCTATTTAAAAACAACCCCTACAGAGCTGTTCCTCAAATACCTGAGACAGCCCTCGGTTAAACAACTTTGTCGTCTAAAAGATCTCACATACATATATTTCATGGGTTAGGAGTTGTATGTTTAATCCTGACAAATCATGTTATTTACACCTAAATTTGTCACTCACATATTAAATTAAATAGCTGTGTCATCCTGAATTGTACTGGACTGTTTCATGCAACCCTATGTTGGGGGTAGAAAATACTGGCTATTACCTAACAACTAATAATTTAGGCAGGCTACCTTAATTAGCTTCAACCTGAAAGTGGTTTGATCCTCCCTGTATTAGCTATTTGGCTGGAACCTAAATAGATCATCTAGTAATGAGCTTGATAAAACCCTGTTATTTGGGGGGGTGGGGGGCAGATAGCTAACCAAGATTGCTGCTTCCCAAGTTATTATATAGAGTTTATTTGGAATCGTTGGTTTATTTGAATGAAGTTTTTTTATAAGACACTCTTGTATAGAAACAAAATATATTTTTACTTAATCTGAAGCCATTAATATGAAAGGAAGAAGGTAGTTTGGATAAGAATGCAAGATAATTCATGTTAGGTAATTTTTTCCAAGTAGTTATTATTTTTCACAGAATGATGATAATTTTAACCTAAATATAGTAACATGAAGTAGAAACAGTTTGGATAAGAATGCAACACTATGTAATTCTTTCCTCAGCAAATAGTTAAGTTTCCATATAGCCACAATAATTTATAATGATGGCATTCTAAATGTTCCCTGAATACCAACAGTGTGAAGGCTCCCTGACATTCAGGGAGAAATAAGAGAGTACAGTGCATTTGTTTGGGCCACTTGGGATTGAAGGAATACTTTTAAACTTGGCATTTTTAAGTCATGAAAAAGTTGAGCGGATTATAAATGGGTTAAGGTGGGTCAATTTGGAGGATCTTGTTAAATTCTGAAAACTGGAACTATTCAGCTTTTATATTTCTCTGGAGATTTCACAAACATTTAGTTATAAGAACTACAAACAATTATCCTACTATGTTAGCTTGTTCATTAACTATTAAGTTAATTTCATTAACATACAGCTTCAGTCTTGAAAAATTGAGAACTTACTTCTGTCTCTGTGAAATTTTCGGCATGTTTTTACAGCAACAAAGATATCCTCTTTCTTCACTGGATCTCCCTATAAGGAAATGGAAAAATGAATGTTGTAATTGCAGGCACTGCTTTTAACTTTACATTGTGTACACATGTATGTTTTGGAAATAAAACAGAAAATACCTTTGCATTGTATAGTGTATGAAGCAGCATAGTGTACAGTGCTAAGTAGTACAGTTCAAAATACATTTTCTATCTGTCAAGATATGGCACCAGTATTTTCAAATGACTGAAATAACATTGTCCAATGATTGTTTTCAAATGTAGTATTATAGTTGGAGCCAGAAATACAAATCATTAAGAAAGAAAATGAATAGAAGGACTTCATGTACTAACACTGATACAAAGATGACCAAACAAGTGACATTTTAACAAAATAATTGTTGTAATAAAGGATGCAGAAACTGCAGGATGTTGGGAAGCAGAAATTTGAAAAGGATTACATATCAGAAAAAACTGTTTTGGTGTAAGCAATATTCATAAAGTTATGCTGCATTCATTGACACAGAGACAATAATTAACACATTTTTATAGTTATTGGTGTGCAAAGCACTTTAAAGCACACCGTCTCCAAGAATTTAAAATCTAAATTAGACAAGCACTGACAAAGAACAGTACAAGAAAAGCCATAAAAATATTGCTTTCGTACATTTTTTTCTTTGTTATGATATTTTGTTTTAGGTGCTTTGGAATTTTTCACTATTTGTATTTGTTTTTAAATGATCACATGCCAGAGGGAAAGAAGAAATCACTGAAGTGGAGATTTGTGGTGAAAAGCTATCTGAAAGTAATGAGTTCTGAGGTGGAAGTCAAGATTTTATCTCACCAGCCATTAAATAATATGGTAGTACGATCGTTTTCTTTTCCACGGAGTATTTTAATTTAAAAATGCCTTACTAATACTACTTTGTAATTGTACAGCACCTTTGTACTGAGAGAATCCAAGTGCTTTATATAGAAAATTGATTACTATTGACTCTATTTTCCAGACAGTGAAACTAAGGGACAGAGAGGTTAAAGGACTTGCCCAAAGTCTCACAGTGAGTCAAGAGAGGTGCTGGGTAAAGTAAGACTGGTCTTCAGACTCCTGTTGTTCTGCTCAAACAGACAGGGTGAGAACATCACCCAGCTCCAGCCCCTTTATATTGGTAGAAGGGCCAGAGCAATGTAAAGGATCCCTAAATGCACTGGATATGCTTGGGAGAGGATTCTTCCAACACACGAACTGTGGAAGATAGACATAAAGCTGCCTTGCAAGGACTACTACAAAAGTATTGGCATAGGGGGCATGCTAGGCTGGGGAGCATTGAGGGCTGCAGCCTATAGGACAGCTATAGGAAGCTGCCATTACATAGACAGGCCTTAGGACTCTGGAGGTCACAAAGATGGTTTAATGCCACATTAGGCCCCCCCTTACCATGGGATGCAAGCTCTGTGCAATCTTCCCAGAGTAGGACAGTCCTCAAGGACCACATTTTATCACAGGGGTAGGCAAACTTTTTGGGCCGAGGGCCACATCTGGGTGGGGAAATTGTATGCAGGGCCGGGACAGGGGGTTGGGGTGCGGGGTGTAGGAGGGGGTGCGGTGTGCAGAAAGGGGCTCAGGACTAGGGATTGGGGCAGAGAAGGGGTGCGGGGTGTATGAGGGGGCTCGGGGAAGGGGGTTGGGGTGCAGGAGGGGGCTCAGGGCAGGGGTGCAGGAGGGGTGCGGACTGCAGGAGGGGGCTCAGGGCAGGGGGTTGGGGTGCACAGGGGTGCAGGGAGCAGCAGGGAGCTCAGGGCAGGGGGTTGGGGTGCAGGAGAGGTGCGGGGTGTATGAGGGGGCTCAGGGCAGGGAGTTGGGGTGCAGGAGGGGTGTGGCAGGGGGCTCAGGGCAGGTGTGCAGGAGGGGTGCGAGATGCAAGCAGGGGGCTTAGGGCAGGGAGTTGGGGGACAGGGTGCAGGAGGGGTTTGGGCTCCGGCCTGGCACCATTTATCTAAAGCGGCTCCGGGGTGGCAGCGGTGCGCACCGGGGCCAGGGCAGGCTCCCTGCCTGCCTGCCCTGTCCCCGGCCCTGCGCTGCTCCAGGAAGCGCTGCGGCCCCTGGAGAAGGTGGGGGAGAGGTGGAAGGCTCCACGTGCACTGCCCTTGCTGCGCCTCCAGGTACTTCCCCCGAAGATCCCATTGGCCGTGGTTCCCCGTTGCTGGCCAATGGGAGCTGCGGGGGGTGGGGCCTGGAGGCAAGGGCAACGCAAGGAGCCCTCTGCTCCCTCGCCCCCCCCCGCCTGAGGGCTGCAGGGACATGGTGCCGGCCGCTTCTGAGAGCAGCGCGGGGCCCACAGCGCCATGGGGGGCAATCCCGCAGGCCGGATTCAAAGCCCGGGCAGGCCATAGTTTGCCCACCCCTGGTTTATCACCTCTGAACTGCCATAGAGATTATTGTTGAGATGCAAAGCACTGCTTCCCTCAAGCACTCCCAAACTAAGAAATGATAAACTTGATGTGACAGCCCCCGCCCCCAGGTGCAACCTGGAACTGGGGTACTACTGAGCCTCTGACATACCAACCTGGGCCCCCTCTCACACTGTGAGAGCTGTGACAAGCTGCAGATCGCTCCCGGTCCTCCACTCACACAAACCTTTACACAGGCAGGGACACACCCAGCTGCAGTTACATAGAGGCTTCTCCCCCAACTCCACAGCCTAGGACCTCAGAGCTGTACTGTGTTGTCCTGGTCAAAAGCCTGACCTGTAAGTTTATTTCCCAGTCCACCCCTGCCTCAATGTGGACAGGACAATGCACCAGTTTTTGTTCCTGAGCATATTCCCTAAACACTTCTAGCAAAACACACTGTTTTAGATAAAAAAGATAAAACAAATTTATTAACTGCAGAAAGATAGATTTTAATTGATTATACGTAGAGAGCGTACAGATCAAAGCAGATTACCTAAGAAATAAACAGAAATGCAATCTAGGCCTTATAAATTAGATAGGATTTGAATCAAGCGGTGTCTCACCCTGCTAGCTAGTACAAGCAAGTTACAGCTTTTGTATACACAGGCTGGAATTCTCTCCCACCTGGGCCCCTCTTCCCCAGGTCCCCAGTCTTTGTTCCTAAGGTGTTTCCAGGTGTTGTGCTGTAAAGGGAGTGAGGCCAAGTGATGTCACTTCCCCCTTTTATATCTTCTTCCAGCTTGCTGGAAAGATCTTTTGCTCTGACATGAGTCAAACAGTCTCCCTTGGCTATGTGCTATCTCTGAGAGGTTTCCATTGTACACAGTTCCTGGGGTAATCCTTGTGAGTGCATTCTCCTCCATGGGCCACCAATGCTGTTTGGCCTTTTATTTGTTGTATGTGAAAGGCTGCTTGTGGGTGTTCCCAACCTCACAACATGTTTCAGTGGCACATATATAGCAAAACTTCATAACTTCATATACAATGATAGCACATACAACTTAATGTTCAGATTAAGACTTTTAAAATGATACCTTACAAGGCATACTTTGTACAAAACATATAATTATATCACCATGGTGAATATGGGGTGCAGAGTATCACTTTGGGGCAGAGAGTGTCACACTTGGTTTTCTTTCACAGCAGTTTCTTCTAGCTCTATCATCTTTTGCTATACATGCTAAATGCTTGACAAAAAGCTTACAATCTAACCAGATGACTAACAAATTAAGAATGGGGGAAGGGATAGATCAGGGAAGTTTATGTGTGTGTCTTCTTAGCTCCCAGATTTTTTTTTTTTTCTAGGTTTGCTATTATCCGCTTATCTCACATTTCTTGTGGGGAACACAAGGGTTTGTAATCCTACCTTAGTGCACTACATTCAAATTAATACCCCCACTACCTAATTCTTATATAATGATCTTCATCCGTAGATCTCAAAGTGCTTTACAAAGGATGTAAGTATCGTTATTCCCATTTACAGACAGGGAAACAGTGGCACAGCAAGTGAAGTGACTTGCCCAAGGCCACTCTGCAGGCCAGTAGCAGAGCTGAGAATACAACCCAGGACTCCTCAGAACATGGTGCACTGCTCTAGCCACTGACCCACACTGATAGTTCTAAGGATTCTAAAAAGAAAACTGAAAACATATCACTTACCATGGCAGAACACCAATAAGTTATAATAAACTATTCAACATAGTTAAATGGGCTAGGTAAAAGGAGTAGAATTACACCTCTACTCCGATATAATGTGACCCGATATAACATGAATTTGGATATAACACGGTAAAGCAGTGCTCCGGGGGGGCGGGGCTGCGCACTCCAGCGGATCAAAGCAAGTTCGATATAATGCGGTTTCACCTATAACACGGTAAGATTTTTTGGCTCCCAAGGACAGTGTTATATCAGGGATATAACAGCATTGACATCACTTTACATTTAAAGAAAAAAGGTCACAAGGCCACAGAATTAAATAGTGCATGCAATACTTTAATCAAATAGCTTCTAGATAAATAAAAATGAGGACAGGTAATAATCTTACTAGGTCTTGTGTTTTCAATTCCTATTGAAGGGTACATGATATGGAACTATCTAGTTAACAGAGAGGAAGAACAATTCAGTGGTTAGAGCGTTAGTGTGGGATCTGGAAGACCGGGGTCTAACAGACTTCCTGTGTGATGTTGGGCAAGTCACTTAACATCTCTCTGCCTCACTTTTCCATTCATAAAATGGGTAAAATAGCACTTCCCCTGCTCACAGGGATGTTGTGAGGCAAAATACATTAAAGATTGTGAAGTGCTCAGATACTCTGGTAATGGGGGAACATGAGTGCCTTAGATAGATCAATCATGTCTATCAGGAAATACAATGTGTAATAGAGGTCTGAGTGTGTAAGAGACAGTAGGAGAATGGTACTCCAAATGTTATATTTTCCCCCCTTAATTTGGTAAAAATATTTTCTCCAGGTCCCTGAGATTTTTTGTAAGTAAAGTTTTAGCCTTTGTAATAACAATGCTCTCTCTAGCAGGTAAGTATAATTTAAAATATTATACTTACGCAAACTGGTAGGAAGTTACTGAACATTGTGGCACAGTGAACAGCCTTATATGAGTTCAAGTCATCCGTACAGAACTCAGGCACTGGAGTAAGATGTGGTCCATTGCCTTTCTGCCAAATATATAATGCAATCTATCAAAATATACAACATAAGTAGTAATGAGTAGTGGAATTAAACAACAATTTTCATAATATACCCAGAAATCATTGTTATAAAGCAAATTAATAAAACATTACAGAAGAAACAGAGAAATAAAGAGGATTCTGTAGAGACTGTGTATATGAATTAACTCATTTATTTAACTTTGCATTTTGATTTTAAAATCAAAGCACAATTTTCACTTAAAAATATTCTCTGCCATAACTTGAAATTTTTGAAAATAGCTCCAGGCACTCCAAATTGCCAAAACAAGTGTAAATATATAAGAAAAAAAAGCCAGGGTACAGGAGAAAGGAAGGGGACTGAATACATTTATCTGCACCTACTCTTAAATATAAGATACACTTTATTTTTTGTGTTGTTCTTTGCAATTAATTTTGGTGATATGGAATGCTTAATTCTGTTTGTTTTAATGTCAACAATAAATAGATTTTAAAAAGACCTGTTCTCTGATGATAATTTAAAATACTCAAAAATGAACACTAAACAACCATGGAAGTACTGAAAGATCCTTTTGTCTATTGTAAACTGAAAGATTACCAGAATGCTAGCAAACGTCGTTAAAGAAAGAAAAAGTAACACGAGGACAAAGTCTGAAGTAAAGACAAAGGTTCATCTTGTCTCCACCTATCTTGAATTAATTATACTCCATGTTGTAAATTATTATATGTGGAGCTGTTAGCACCACCTCTAGTTAAGGTTACTTGACATTTCCCATTTTAAGTCCCTGTTTTCAGTTGCTGTTAACTTCAACTAACTGAGATGAAATTTTCTATGCTGGATGTCTGCATCAGGCTGATTCCTTCCCTCCCTCCTTTTTGAAAATTTCAGCTAAAATGTTTCAGAGAACAAAAGGAGGGGGAAATATGTTCTGTTATAATTTAAAAAATTCTTTCCAATTCTTTCTTTGCTCACATGCTCACAATATAACTGATTGTCATATGTGGGGTCAGGAAGGAATTTCCCCCGAGATCCGATTAACAGTGACCTTGTAGGGTTTTCACCTTTCTCTGCAGCATGTGGGTGCCTGTCACTTGTCAGGATTATCTGGGTCTCTCTCACTTACTCATTTCCCTGCCATTACAGGGGCCTCGGGTACTGTGCCCCTCAGTCCCTCTTATTCTCTGCCTGTGGCACATAGTCTCCTGTAGGCTGTAATACTTTGGTCTAGTTTCAGTTGTTGTCAGTTGTGAGGGTGATGTTGGTGTCCTGAAATACACAGGAGGTCAGACTAAATCAGGGGTCTCAAAGTCCCACGGGCCATCTGCGGTCCAAGAACCTCCCCACTGCAGCCTGTGGAGGAGAGACGCATGCAGCCATGCTGCTGGCAATGTCTGCTGCAGGCGCCGCCCCCCTATTGGCTGGGGGAGAGGGATAGAGATACCATCACTAGTTGCTGGGCAGAGTCAGGCATGGAGGCAGCATCATTAGTTGCCAGGCAGAGTCAGCCATGGAAGTAGCATCACTTTTTTCCACAATGAATATAAACAAGTCAAAATACCAAACACAACTATCTGATGCACACCTTGCTGCAATCCTGAAGGTTTCAACTGCTCAGTCACTGAGGCCAAACATCAACAAACTGACAGAACTGAAGCGTTGCCAGGTGTGTGGTAAACACTAAAAACTCTCTGGCAGGCAAATAATTGTATAAAGTTGTATGACAGTTTTATTATTTCTGAGAAATTTGAAACAAAAAATACAATATAAATGTTTTCTTTTCTGAACACCATCTTCAGTGACATTATTGGCCTGCTGGGAGGATTTGAGGACTGGCACTAGCCCAAGGTAAATTGAGTTTGAGACCCCTGGACTAGATGATCTGATGATCCCTTCTGGCCTTAAACTCTGACTCTGAACTACTTCATTGAGAAGCTCCAACAACTCCATGTTTTGAAGCAGGGACTTGATTTTGGCAGGAGGGTTGCTCTGATGTCTTTGGCCATCCCCATGAAAAGTATCACAAATTTGGCCAAGTTATAAAACCTAAAAAACAAACAAAAACAACAACAACAAAAAACCCACAACAACCCTCAGTTTGCATATATTCAGTGGAGACTTTTGACAGCTAAATTCTCCTAATATACTATCTGCACTGAATAATGCTCTATCCTGGGAATGCAGGGGGATAGCAGAATTTTCCCTGCAAATACTCCTCCTGACATCTGGGGGGGTTGCAAGCAGCAAGTCACTTAAACCAACATATTCATTGCTGGTCACTAAAAGTGTGTTCTTCAGATTTGTAGAATTGGTGAGCACTCAACTCCAACTGAAGTTGGCTGGAAGCTTGCTTTGAACATATGAAGTGCTATAAAAAGGCTAAGTACACTGAAAAATAAGGACCTAGGTTTCTCAAGTTGGGCTCCAAAAATTAGTGAGCACTTGGACCTTAATCTCACTGTGCCTCAGTTCCCCAGATGTAAAATTGGGATAATAATTCTAATGGGGACAATATCACCTAATCTCACAGAAATGTTGTGAAAACAAACTCTTTAACGTTTGTGACACACTCAGATATTATGGTGAGAGCGCCACAGAAACACCCAGGAGAAAATCAATAATTTTGTATTCAGCACAGCATAGGCTAAGTGTGCATTAAATAAAGCGTGGGGCTCCACTGAATGTGGAGGATAAAACAGAGTTCTAAGAGTCACACTGAAAATGAAAGGTATTTTATGGAATGCCATTCTAAAATGTGTGCTTAATGACAAAAAAAAGTCATATATTTGTAAGACAGACTGTGTTCCATCTGGAAAGCCACAGCAGAGTAGTGAATGTAGACAATATTAGGAAAAAGACTAATGAATGGGCAGCAGCTAGACCTAATAGACACAAAGGTGAAATAAAAGCACTTAAGGCAAATGATGTCACTTGGATTCTATCTTACTGAAGGTACATGAGCATAATACAATTCCTTTCCCCCTCAACAACGATAAAGCAAAATAGAAGAACGTGGTAATCACTCTTCTGTCACATCTCCCTTATATCTCCAGCTTTTCCAGTCTTCACTGAAATCTAAATGTATTGGGATTAAGGAATGAGGGGATTCATGAGGGCAGGATTGTAAACTAAGATCATATATTTATATGATCTTCATAATTTAGACTCTATAATACCAATATTAAAGATATTAGATTGTATCCTTTGATTTATTGGCAGCCAGTGTAATTTATGGAGGATGTGTGTAACCACCCCTTTAACTTCTATTTGAAGAAGCAAGCGAGCGTTTGCCATTTCAATTGTTACAGCCTTGGGGTCAATTACTGTGTGTTACAGTAACCTAGTGTGTCTGTGGCAAAGCAGGATGGCCCCAGGAAGGTCTGCATCAAAGAGAAGTAGAGGGACTTTCTGGATAAACCAGAAATGGTGGTAATGACTCTTGACCACCATCCAAATATAAACTTCCTTTCTCAGAAAACAGTGATGGATTTCCATTCCCCCCCCACCACCACCTCCTACACACACTTCCACAAGTTCCCAAATCTATTTGACTAGCATTAGCTGTACTGCCTGAATAATACAC